TGTTTTTCAGGCATGTCGTTATATTACTCTCAAGTACGGAAAGCTGTGGACAACATTTTAAGGCACCTTGATAAAGAAGTAGGAAGGTGTATGATGCTAACTAACGTCCAGATGTTAAACAAAGAACCTGAAGACATGATCACGTGAGTATCATGAGGACTAAGTTTTCAATGGAGGATTAATGAACCAAAAGACACCAATGGAGATTCCTTCCCTTTATTCTGTGTTTCGTTCTCATCTTATTAGAATCAGAGATCTTAGAAGTTTTTCTTTTTTTTTTTTGAGTTACAGTCAGTTTACAATGTTGTGTCCATTCCAGTGTAGAGTACAATTTTTCAGTTATACATGATCATGCATGTATTCATTATCGCATTCTTTTTCACTGTGAGCTACCGCAAGATCTTGTATATATTTCCCTGTGCTATACAGTATAATCTTGCTTATCTATTCTACATATGCCTGTCAGTATTTATAAATTTTGACAGAGTTCTTAGAAGTATTAAGGATAGTAAAAACATACTTTGATAAGACTTAATGAATGGTAAAAAATAAAGTCTAACCTGAGATTGATCTGTTTTGGTTATATTTCAAGTATCATTAGGCTGGGAAGTTAGAAAATGGGCCCAAGAACTTCTTTACTGGTCCACATTTTTCAGAAATGATGTTTTGCTCCCAAGCCCATGTGCTTTAGTGACATCACCAGTTTACAGCCATTCCATTTTCATGAATCTCAAGTTCACTTGTTTCTAGTGACAGTTCCTGAATTGTGAGAGTTAAACCTGCTTAATAGTCTCTGTGCAACTGTGCCATAGAAATACTGGATGTTAAGGATGCACTTGTAGCTTAGAGTGTAGAAATCAAATGCTCTTAGCCAAAATCCCAGGTCTAGATTTGTAATTAAAGCTCTGCATTTGAAACTTAGACAACTTGTATTTGCTACTTTTGATTAATTATGGCAGGAACTCGGATTAGATTATGACTTTACATTTTAAGAAAGTTTGGACTTTCTTGTTGAACTGAGTTAAATTATATTTGGCACCTATGGTATAAATTTCCAAAACTATAATTAGGAAAATTTTCTTTGTCACCCAGTTCCAAATACCACAATTAGCTGGAAGGTTGTTACCTATATAGGGAAGTTCACATGGTGGGTGTGTAGTTTTATTACAATGGTAGCATGTTGAAAACAAAGTATGACAAAGCAAAACATGATAAAATAATGTTAAAAATAGAGAATTGTTTTAAATACGTATTTAGCAGTATGGCAAGTTAAAATGAAAGCCTCCTCCTGAGAGCTCCACATGAAATCTACAACCATTCCTTGGTTCAGTGTGATTTCTTCCAGACCTTTCCCTATGTCAACACAAATATATACATACATACATACTTTTTTAAAATAAGAATGGGATTATATGATGTACTTGTCCTGCAGCTTGCCAGTCGTTTGATTTAAATGATAGTGAGATCATGTTGCTTTAGACTTTTAAACCAAGATGATAGCAGAATTGAAATTGACCAAAGTTAATAACATTAAATATATTATGTACAGCGTATCTCACAAATTGCTGGATTGTCCATAAACCTTTAGGCTCCTTATTACATGCTCTTTGAATACATGAAAGCAATCTTCAGTTTATAATATGGAAGATATAAGATGCTTTTAAAACTTCTGCCATGTAGTTGTTTCCTCTAAAAACAGTAAAGAAATGAAAGACCTTTAAAGGAAAACTGTATTTATAACCCAGAGGTCATGAGATAGGGTCAGAACCAAAGCAGTATACTCAAAACCATTAAAGGATACAGGTTTAGCTGTAAATGTAAACATTTCATTTGGATTTTAACAATACCTTAAACTTTTTGTGAGGTGATTCTTTACCTTTTCCTGTCAACCGTCTTAAGACCCCCAAACAGGGCTAGAAATAGTTTTCATGCTAGACTTCAAGGCAGATCCTTGAAAAGAAAATAACTCATGGCTACATTTCTAAAAACAAGAAGAAACATTAGAGAATCATGTCAGCTTTTAGGAAAAGAG